GGCAGTTTTTCTCTTTGTGTTGTGTGTATGTGTGTAGCAAGGTTCAAGTGCATGTGAGCATGGAGGCCTGTGTAAGTGACTTTGAAGCTGACTGTTAATGTGTGTAATAGTGTTTGTATATGTGACGATATAGGTATGCCACTGGTTGCATACCTGTGTTGGAAGAGCTTGTCTGGATATGTGAGAGGATTTGAATAAGCAGGTACATTGATACAAAGGGAATATCTGAGTCTATGTGTGACAGTGAGTAGGTTTACAGGTGTGTATTTGTCAGGATTTGAGAGTTCACGTGTGTGTATTTGAGGGGGGGTTATAATTCTGGGTTTATAAACCATTACACAAGTATATGTGTGAGTGTGTCTGACTGTGTATGTAATTCTCAGCCCTCTTATACCCAACACCCTCTTTTATGTAACATTTTGCAATGCCTCTTTACTATCTGTACACGAAGTTCTTAAATAATATAATCTTTCTCCACATACAATTTCAAAAGAAAATCCATATAGTATTTTATACAATAGTCATACTGTATTAACTCTAGTGCAAATAAATAAGAAATAAAAAGGAAGTGGTTTATGAGAAAATAATTTGTATTTCAATATATAAGTGCTTGGCCATAACCCTCCCCAGGAGATTCAAAGAAGTAGTTAGAGGCATGTAACATCTTACTCTGATTACATGGATTAAGAAGGGGGAAATCAGAAGCTTCCCCTTGTAAAAACTGCAGGAAGATGACAGGCAGAGGCTTAGGGCTAAGATTTTTCTGAAATATCAAACAGCTCAAGGAAAGTGCCGCACAAAACAAAATACAGTCTCCTGTGAACTTAGCCACACTCCTGGATAATTCCAAGTGTAGTAAATCCTCGCTTAACATCATCAATGGGGTCTTGAAATTGTGGCAAAATGACGTATAACAAAACCAGTTTTACCACAGGCTGACTGATGTAAACAAGATTTAAGTTCCTAAATGCATCTCGTCGACGTTATAACCATACAACATTGAATGAAACCTTATTCGAGGACCTAGTGTATATTAAAAATGAGGGAAATTGTGTTTATCTCTGAAATAGAGGTAGATTCTAGGTTCAGTTCCTTACAAATCCAAAGTCCTAGGGGATACGGGACAATATGTTGGCTGTGTGGGACTGCCCCACACATTGTTGGATCACCAGTATCCTCACCTGGGACCCCTAAATGTTAGAATGACACCCTACACCCCAGCATGGTGACAACCAAAAATGCACCTACAAATTTCGAAAATGTCCCCTAGGGGGCAGTAATGCCTCAATTGAGGACGAAGCACTGGCGTTTAGGCCGGGTACACTGTACCTGTACGACTAAGGCAGCGTACATGGTACACCCTCCGTGTGTGTGTGTGTGTGTGTGTGTGTGTGTGTGTGTGTGTGTGCGCGCGCGCGCGCGCAAGTACAATGTCCCTATGTGTGAGCTGGTTGCTGTCCATGGGTCTCCATTGCAGTAGGTTGTGTGTCAGTGTGAGTGTGCAGGTGTCTTGTGTATCTGTGTCTAAAGATGTCTGGGCACCAGGTGAGTCTGTGCTCAGAAGAACTCTCTCCTCAGTGACTTATATAATTGCCCCAGCTTTCCAAGCAACACCAGGGTTTTGTTCCTTTGCTGCTATTCTTTTTTTCTTTTGTTTTATTTTAGCATTTGCTTTTGTTTTCATTCTGGACTATGTACACATTATCCACCTTCTTGGTCTTAGTATGTCTCCCTGTCCCCCTCTCTGTATCTTCATCTTTATTTCTGCCTCTCTCTTTCTCTGCCTCTATCTCCACCGCTGTCTCTTCATCTGTCTCTCACTCCCCCACCCCATCTCTATTTCTCTATATTTTTCTTTGTTTCCTGGTTTTATCCCTCCCCTGCTATCTATCTACCTCAATATCTACCTATCTCTCTCCCTCCCTCCCTTTGTCCCTCGTTTTCTGGCTGTTTCTGTTTTGTTTTGTTTTCTGTCTCTCTCTGTGTCTCTCTCCCTCACTATCTCTATTTTTTATATCTTTGTCTCCATTTTTTATCTCCTGCTCTTTCCTTTTCTCTCTGTGTACCTCTGTTTCTTTTGTCTCACTCCCTTTTTCTCTTCTTCCCCTTTCTGTTTCTCTTTTTATCTCTTCCTCTCTGTGTATAAGGCTGTCTCCCCTTTCTTTGTCTCTGGCTCTCTCCCCGCCACCTTCCTCTATCTCTGTCTGTCTCTCTCTGCTCCTATCTCTTTCTCTTCTCTGTTACTCCATGTGTCTCTTTGACTCTCTCTTACATTCCATTTTTGTCTCTTTAACTTCCTACCCTATCTCCTCTCAAGGCTAAGGTAGGGGTGTGTGTGTGTGTGTGTGTGTGTGTGTGTGTGTGTGTGTGTGTGTATACACATTTACACATAGCCAGCTGTCTGTTGGCTGGTCTACAGTTCTATGGGAACTATCAGACCTTGAGGGCCAACTGAAAGGGACCTGCCAACCCATTTCCCCTGTGTCCCTGCCCCAGCACCTTCTTGTGGCCTATTGGCACTGGTTCTGAGACTTCCGGGTGCCATCAAAAAGCCTGGCCCCGGCTAGCTGTGGCGGACCAGGTTGGATTGAGCTGGAAAACAATGCAGATGGGACACTTTTTCCTGAGAGAGGAGGGGTTAGAAAGACACCCACTCAAGCCCCGCCTTCACCAGCCTCACGCTCATCCCAGCCTCAAAAGTAATTCTGATCTTTTCCAGTGTCTGCCTTGTAACCTTCCCTCTTGAACCTTCCCTGTTATCTTATCACATCCCATACCCTCTGCCCCAGCCCGCACACATCAGGATTCTACCTGTTTCCTGCCCAGTGTTGCCTGTGCCCTCCCACTCATGCACTGCCCTGCTTTAGTTCTTTTCCTAGAATGTATCTCTTTTTAAAAATAAATATATTTGTATTGATTTCAGGGTGGGAGAGGGAAAGAAACATAGAAACATTAATGATGAGGGAGAATCATTGATCGGCTGCTCTCTCAGCAAATACTGCCTGGATATTTCCAAGCAGCCCTCCCTGAGCCACCAGCCCATTTAGTTCTTCAGTCAATTGGAGAGTGTGTGAGTCTATAAGTCCTGCCCTGTGGAGCTTTTGTTCTCATAGGGAGAGACAGACAATAAAGCAAAATTTAAAGGTAAATTAAGCTCGGCCAGCATGGCTCAGTGGTTGAGTATCAACCTATGAACCAGGAGGGCACAGTTTGATTCCCGGTCAGGGCACATGCCTGAGTTGCGGGCTCGATCCCCAGCAGGGGGTGTGCAGGAGGCAGCCAATCAATGACTTTTTCTCATCATTGATGTTTCTATCTCTCTCTCCCTCTCCCACTCCGAAATCAATAAAAATATATTTATTTTTAAAAAGATAAATTCTAGGAAAAAGAACTAAAGCAGGGCAAAAGGCACGGGGGTGCTCTTATTTTTCATCCAGATTACTGCAGGAGCCTCCTAACTAGTCTCCCAACTTCCACACTTGTCCTCATGGTCTGTGCTCCTTATAGCAGCAAACAGGATCCCGTTCAATCCCTAGACATATCATATCTGACCTCTGCTCATGGCCCCTCCTATGGCTCCCACCTCACTCAGAATAGAAGTCAAAGTTCCCACCATGCCTACATGATCTGGCCTTGCCACCTTTGTGACCGCACCTCACATCACTTGCCCCTTACTCTGTTCCACCCACAGTGGCCTCCTGTGCTTCTTCAAATGTACCATCTGTGGTCCCACCTCAGGGCCTTTGCTCTGACTGTTCCCTCTGCCTGGACTTCTCTTCCCCCAGATACCCACATGAGTAACTCTCTCCCCTCCTTCAGATCTTTGTTCAGATGACACCTCTATAAAACCTTCCCTGTCCACCTCATCAAAAATTGCATCTCACCCCCCCCCCAACACTTCTTATCCCCCTCTCCTCCTTTTTTATTTGTAGGAATTTATCATCATCTGACCTACTATACTTCATCCATGTATCTTCTTTTTTTTTTTTTAATCTAGAATGTCAGCTCCACAGGGCAGGGATCCTTTTCTGGTTAACAGCTGCATCCATCATGCCTGGCACACAATAGATACTCAATAAATGTTTTCTCTTTTTTTAAAAAAATATTTTATTTATGAGAGAGAAAAAGAGAGAGAGAGAGAGAGAGAGAAAGATCTGTTGTCTCCCGTATTCACCTGGGCATGTGCCCTGACCTATGTATGCCCATTGGTTGCTTCTTGTATGTGCTGTGGCTGGGAATCAAACCCACAACCTTGACTTATTGGGATGATGCTCTAACCAACTGAGCTACCCAGCCAGGGCAATAAATGGTTTTTCAATGAAGGAATACACACAAGCATATCTACATCTTTATAGTCACACAGTCTCTGCCTTACTTAAACTAAAAACCCAAGTCCTCGTCATCGCCCACAGCCCTCCATGACCTGGCCTTGGACACCTCTACGACCTTACTTTCTATTACTGTCTCTCTTGCCTGCCCTATTCCAACCACACTGGGTTTTCCCACTGCTCCTTAAGCAGGCTAAGCGCATTCCTGATCATGAATAAATACACCTATTTAATGAGTGGCTACCAGTATTAACAAGAACAAAAAAAAAAAACCCAAAAGAATGAAATAGAGTAGAAACGAATGAGAGTATATTAGACATAGACTCAGTACTGTTCTGTGAAACTTTTGATTCAGCCATGTGTGCATGTGTGTGTGTGTGTGTGTGTGCGCGCGTGCGCACGCATGCGTGTGCTGCATTGCAATGTGGATGGCAATAAAAAAGGGAGAAGAGCCTGGCTGGCATGGCTGAGTGGTTGAACATGGACCTATGAACCAGCAGGTCACAGTTTGCTTCCTGGTCAGGGTGCATACCTGGGTTGCTGGCTGTATGCCCAGTGTGGGGCATGCAGGAGGCAGCTGATCAATGATTCTCTCTCATCATTGATGTTTCTCTCTCCCTCTCCCTTCCTCTCTGAAATCAATAAAAATGTTTGTGTGTTTTTTTTATAAAGGGAAAAGAGCCACATCAACATCCCTGCCCCACAGACCCATCAACATAGCAAACAGGTAACCAAGGACACCTAGAGATATGAAGTGCCCTCACTCAGCAAGGACAAGGTAGAAGCAGCAGTGGGCCAGGGCCAGGGCCTGACACCAGCCAGGGAGTAAGCAGGGGTGGGGACATGGGGTGGTGGCTACACAGACACGCTAACACTGCCCTTTCTTTTTCTTCCTCACTTTTTATTTGCATTTGTTTCCTCCTGTCTCTGTCTTGTTTCTCTCCTTCCCTCTTTTCCCTCTCTCCTCTTCTCCCTCTCTCCTCCTCTCTCCTATCTCCCTGTCCCTCTCCCTCTCTGTCCCTCTCTCGCCTTCTTTTCCCCTTTCTGTCTCTCTCTTTTTATCCCCTCCATTTCTGTCTCAATTTTTTACCCATTCACATCTTTGTTGCCATTTTCCATCTCTTTGGTCTATCCTTTCTCACTCCTTCTCTGTACCTCTGTGTGTTTTCTTCTCTCTCTCTCTCTCTCTCTCACTCTCACTCTCATCTCTCTGTCTCTATGTCTGTGTCTCTCCCACTACCCCCATTTGCAGGTGCAGCCCAGCAGGACAACTGATGGAGTCCCCCAGAGCCCATCGAGTACCGGACTGGCTGACTCCATAGGGTTGGGAGCACCCCCTGCCCTTCATTATGGCCAACACCACTGGAGAGCCCGAGGAGGTGAGCGGTGCTCTGTCCCCACCATCAGCATCAGCGTATGTCAAGCTGGTGCTGCTGGGACTGATCATGTGCGTGAGCCTGGCGGGCAACGCCATCTTGTCCCTGCTGGTGCTCAAGGAGCGTGCCCTGCACAAGGCTCCTTACTACTTTCTCCTGGACCTGTGCCTGGCCGACGGCATCCGCTCTGCCGTCTGCTTTCCCTTTGTGCTGGCTTCTGTGCGCCACGGCTCCTCATGGACCTTCAGTGCGCTCAGCTGCAAGATTGTGGCCTTTATGGCTGTGCTCTTTTGCTTCCATGCGGCCTTCATGCTGTTCTGCATCAGTGTCACCCGCTACATGGCCATCGCCCACCACCGCTTCTATGCCAAACGCATGACACTCTGGACATGTGCAGCCGTCATCTGCATGGCCTGGACCCTGTCTGTGGCCATGGCCTTCCCACCCGTCTTCGACGTGGGCACCTACAAGTTTATCCGTGAGGAGGACCAGTGCATCTTTGAGCATCGTTACTTCAAGGCCAATGACACGCTGGGTTTCATGCTTATGTTGGCTGTGCTCATGGCAGCCACACATGCTGTCTATGGCAAACTGCTCCTCTTTGAGTATCGTCACCGCAAGATGAAGCCAGTGCAGATGGTGCCAGCCATTAGCCAGAACTGGACATTCCATGGCCCTGGGGCCACCGGCCAGGCTGCTGCCAACTGGATCGCTGGCTTTGGCCGTGGGCCCATGCCACCAACCCTGCTGGGTATCCGGCAGAATGGGCATGCAGCCAGCCGGCGGCTGCTGGGCATGGACGAGGTCAAAGGTGAGAAGCAGCTGGGCCGCATGTTCTACGCGATCACACTGCTCTTCCTGCTCCTCTGGTCACCTTACATCGTGGCCTGCTACTGGAGAGTGTTTGTTAAAGCCTGCGCTGTGCCCCACCGTTACCTGGCCACTGCTGTTTGGATGAGCTTCGCCCAGGCTGCTGTCAATCCGATCGTCTGCTTCCTGCTCAACAAGGACCTCAAGAAGTGCCTGAGGACTCACGCCCCCTGCTGGGGCACAGGAGGTGCCCCGGCTCCCAGAGAACCCTATTGTGTCATGTGAAGCAGGCTGATAGGCAGACAGACAGGGAGAAGGTCATGGCCACCATGATGGGGCTAACAGAAAGGGAGGGGTAGGGCCCCATACAGGAGCCTTTCTTTCTGAGCTCCAGCCCCAGCCCCTCAAACCACCCGGAATCTAGGCACCTTTTCCAACACCTCCCCAGGGGTGGGGGACTGGGAAAGAGGTGTTTCTAGTTCTAGGGCCTGTCTCTGCTGCCGCCTTTTCCACTTCTACAATCTCTTTCCTCTCTCTCTCTCTCTCTCTCTCTCTCTCTCTCTCTCTCTCTCATTCAGAAAAAGAAAACAAAAGTGAAAATGCAGGTTTTTCTACTATCAGCTGAGGAGTCAGGCTTTCTTGCTTTAATGTCTCTCCTTCTGACACTGTCTAGAATGGGGAAATTTGTCCTGTAAAATAGACTTTCAGAGCTCTTCTGGCCCCCTCTGCTCCCATGCACCCTCCCCTTCCAAGTCCTCTAGCAAGGCCTGGATATTTAGGGGGAAACTGATCTGTTGACAAGAGGGACCAAAGGGGGTGCAGGGTCCCCAGGGAGCAGGGATGTTTAATTGCTATGTTGTGTGCAATGTTGTTTTAGGCTAACTCTGGTCCCAAGCCCAGTCTCCTCTTGCTACCCATGTCCAGACATCCCAAGTGTTTCTTGAGCATCTGAGAAGCCAGGAGGGGAGGGAGAAGGGCCCTCAGGATGGACCCAGGCTAGTGAAGATCAGGATGTGAGCTGCACGCCTGGAGCTGAAGAGACGTGAGCTTGACTATATTCTCTTGAGCTGCCTCCTGGATCCCCAGCCCCCAGCTCTTCTTTCTAAGGATGGAAATCCACTCCAGCTCCACTAGGGCTGATGTGGGTGCCATACAGGCAGGAGCAACCCCCCGGAAGTATAGGGAGAGAGCTGAACTCCCCAGAGTAGCTGGATCCCAGAGCCTGGCATCAGAGTGGAATTCAGCCCCAGAATTGTCTCCTGGGTTCACACTACTCTCCCAAAGATGAAAATTGGGGGGCGGGGGAGGGCTTGGTATCTCATAGTGGATAAGCTCTAAGGCACTGTGGATTTGAATCATCCCTATCCAACCTCTTTTCGTCCTCTTCAAGCCTCAGGGCCCTCAAGTCCCTCCGTGGTAGCCCTTGGTCATCCGGGTCCTCAGCTCCAGACTTGCCACCCTCCACCCTTACCTCCTTCCAAAGTGGAACAGACTGTAGCCAGATTCCCCAGGTGGGTGATCCCAAGCTTCCCTCCCAGGGCAGAGTCCACTCTGGGTTCACACCAAGGACAGTTCTTGTGGACTGGGGATCCAAGCTGGCACTCCTTTGCCTGGTCTTGCCCAGGTTCTCTGTGGGCGGGGCAGATCTGTATTTATCCACCCCCTTTTCCTTCCCTATTGAAATCCTAGTCCTAAGCCTTGACCCCAGAAGAATGGGGAGGGCACTCTAGGCAGGAGAGACATTAATGAGCCTGGCTGTGGAGTTGTCCTGGAAAGGCAGGCCAGAGTGGCTGAGAGGCTGGGGGTGGGAGGGTACCTGTTCTCTCAGTGATAGTGATGGGGGTGCCTTTTCCAGGGGCCTGGATTCACCATTGGATTTTGTAAATGGAAAACTGAAATGAACAATGCTATATTGGATGTTTTCTCTTTCTGACTGTGTGTGTGTGTGTGTGTCTGTCTGCGTGTGTCTGTGTGTCTGTGTGTCCTGTCTGCATGACCACATGTGGGGAAGTATGATTGAGTGAGACAGTGTGTTTGTGTGACTTTATATGGGGAGGCACCCCTGCCTGCTACACATGCGTGAGTAAATGCCTGTATGTAGAGACATATATGGCATGCACACACACATACATGTATGCACCTAACTGAGAGGAGACAAACTACAGTATGTGCCTGCAGCAGGAAGTAGAGTGGCCAGTGAGATAGAACTTGAAAAGTACATATGCATGTAGCAAGAGGGAGACTCCCATCTCATCAGATCTTCCTCCCTTGGCCCAGGTTCTGAACATGGCAGACAGAATACTTGAGAACCCCACTCTCTTCCCAAAGCCCGGAGCCCCCAGGTATCACTTTCAACTTCCTGAATCAGCAGCCTCTTCTCCAAAACCCAAACAAGGTGTTCCTGAAACTGGACCACCATGGAGAATGGGGACTGGGAATTAGGGATCCAACTTGGGAAGAGCTGATGGGGTTAGGAAATGCCCCCCACAAAGTAATGGCTTCTGGAGGGCCTGCTCAATCTGGGATGGGAGATCTTCTGAAGGATCCACTTTATGCAGCTGGCACTTTGGTAAGCTTTGCCTAAATTCAGAGGGAAGGATGTCACAGGAGGGAACCCAAGCTTGGGAGTTTACCCAACCAGACTGTTGCCTGGGCACTCAATTATTATTTATTTACTTATTCTCTCGGGTGCACAGAATTGAGGTGACCATACTCCTCAGTTCTTGGCACAACTATATCATCATTGATCCATGCGAAGTCCTTTTAGTCTTTATTTTGTTTTGGTTTGTCCCCTTCATCAGCCATCCCTGATCCCATCCCCCCTCCCACATAGGCACCCACTCTTGTGTATTTAACATATGTCCTTCCAATCTACCATTCATGTGTTTATTTACATATATGTGTATCTGTGAAAAAATATATGGTATTGTTATGTGTTTTAATTTACATAAACAGTATTGTACTATAAATCTTGTTCTGTTTCTTTTTTCACTCAACATTCTGTTTTTGAGAGATCCAGCCATATTGCTGTATGTAGATCTAATTCATTCTAGTTGTCATCTTATCCACATATATCACATTTTCCTTAGCCATTCCCCTGGAGATGGGTCTCTAGGTTGCTTCCAGTTCTCTACCACAAGGCTGCAATGGGTAGTTTCCTACACTTCTCTTTAAGGACACCTCATTTAGAGGAGAGGAAACTGAGGCTCAGAGTTATAAAGTGAGGGAATAGACTCCTGATTTGAATCCTTACCAGAGCCAGAACCCCACCACACTTCATCAGAGACCTGTCCATCTGGCCAAAAAAATTTTTTTTCAAATACAATTAAATACAGTCTACACGGAGGAAAGGGAGAGGAAGGGAGGGGAAAGAAGTATTGAGTACGTGAAGAGAAAGACCTAGAAAAATCTAGCATACAAACTGAATCACATCATTTTAGTGACGCATAGATGTTACTTTTTTTTTTTGCGTGATTATTTCTAGAGCCATTTTGCAGAGATGAAAAACGCCACGTCAAAACCTGGCCTCAAATCAAAGTCCCTAGGTCTCTACTGAAGTCCCGGCTCGGGGTTAGAGCAACCTGAACCTCCAGGGGGCCTCATTGGTGTCTGCTGCATGGCAAAAGCTGGGGGCAGGGGCTGGAGAGGAGGCAGGAACCTCCAGGGGGCCTCATTGGTGTCTGCTGCTTGGCAAAAGCTGGGGGCAGGGGCTAGAGACGAGGCAGATTTAAGAAGTGCGTAGTTGCGGCAGGGAAAAGGAGGGGAGGGAAGCGGAGGAGGGGGGATGGATGAACGACGGCGAGGCTCTCCAATTTGATTCGAGCACGTCGTGCTCAGCGCCTGCCTTCGTTTTTTGTTTTGATTTTTTGGTCTTAAGAACCACTGGTAAGATTGATGAATAAAATTACATTGTTTTCAGGGGTACGGTTTTATAATACATCTGTATAATGTATGGCGTTCACTACCGCAAGCCAAGTCCTCTATCGCCATTTATCCCCCCCTCCCCCCATACCCTCTGATTCAATAAAAAAAAACACAGACACACAAAAAAACACTGGTACTTTTCCCATTGGATAGAACGCGAAAGGGTGAGGGAAAGGGGCTTCTTCCCCAAGCTTTTCTCTCAGCCAATTGCCCCTCAGCTTTCCCGCAGGTCGCGCGGGGGCGTCAGCTCCATGATTGGCAGAGTTGAGGGGAGCCAATGGGAAAGTGATGAGGTGGGTGTTGGCAAGCAGATTGCGTGAGAGCGGGCAATGGTCTTGGAAACGTAAGTGCCGCCCCTGCAGCTGACAGCCAATGGCGAGGCAGAATAGGCTCTGACGTAAGCGAGGGGCGGGACCTGAGCAGTTGGCGCGGAGGGAATAGGACAGGCTCCGTGGGAGGGAGCGCAGAGCGGAGCGGAGCGGCGAGCGGTGCGGGTGGTGTGCAGGCGCAGCGTCTCGCTTCAGGGGTGACTGACTGGCCGCAGCGGCTTGTCTGAGAGGGGAAGGGGCGAGCTCGGTGCCCTAAGCGCAGTCAGCATGGACCGCCCGGATGAGGGGCCTCCTGCCAAGGCCCGCCGCCTCAGCAGCTCTGAGTCC